GACGGCTTCAACTAGTCTGTTTGGTAAGGCTGCTTTTTCCTTGCATGTTGGGAGTTTGGGGGGTGGGGGGGGGGTTACGGGGTGGTATACACAAGCCTGTTTTGGTAATTCAGATCTGCCAAGTACTCCAAATAAATTGGACCCCTGCAATTAAAAAAAAAAAAAAGAATTTTCCTGTGGAAGTACTCGAATCGGATTTGCCTGAAATCTTTTTTTTTTTCCCTTGTCTGCTTCCATCAGTTGTTCACAAGGTATATCATAAATGATGTGAAAAAACAAAATGCTAGTTTATTTTGTTGTGGTTTTTTTTGCATACGTTTATTGCCATGGTCAGTTTGTAATTTGGTCTTAATCTGCTCTGGTTCTGAAGACTTGATTTTTTTTCATCTCTAAACTGTGATTTTTAGGGAAAGTTCTAAAGAGAACTCCTATTTTTGGTAGTCATAGAGTTTGTTGGCAGAACTGGTAAGGTTGCTTTTGTCATGTGGGGGAGGGTGGTGGTGGATGTCAATTATTTGTTTATCGGGAAGGGGGGAGTTACTTGGTTGTTAAGGTTGCGTTTGCCATGTAGAGATATATTTGTTTTTATTTATACATTTACATTAAAGCTTAGCAAAGTGCTGCTGGCCCATATATATTATTATATGTGTGTCACAACGCGGTGGAATCAGGTGCTCGTCAATTTTTGTGCATTTGGAGTTATTGGTATCATTTTAAAGCTTGTTCATTTATCTTGCTACCATCAATCTTGAGCACAAGTGAAGATAATTGTGATTGAAAGAGGTAAGTTCACTTGGTTTCAGCATTAAAAATAGCAAGAAAATGGCTGCCAAAGTTTGGTAACTTCAATAGCTAAAGAGTCCTTGAAAACTGAAAAATTACATATTTTGAGTTTTTAAAATTATTTTTCAATATAATTCACATGGAAATGTTTTTATTTGGATATAAAAGGGTTGAACAAAAAACCCCCCAAAAATTTGATTAAAATTGAGAAACTGGTAGGAAAATGCGTGTTTCTCCAATATTGTTGTTTTGACGAGCGCCTGATTTCACCATGATGCCTCACATATATTATACACTTGCATTACCCTATTTGTGTTGCAAGTGCCTGGAAAATTTTATTACTAAAACGAAACATTTGTGTTGTACCATGTCTCTTCCCCCTCTCCCTCCCCCTCGCACTCCTCCTCCTCCCCTTCCCCCTTACGTGGGTGGTTGGCATGTGCTATGGTGTGGTTTGCTTCTTCTTTTTCTATGAAACAGCTGTTGTCTTTATCTCCCCTCCTTTTTGTGTTTGTTACTCTCTTGTAACACCTCTAGTCTTTGGTACTTGTCTTGTATGACCGTATTGTGCTGCAAGTGCCATAAAACGCTTACTAAAACTAACCCCCCCCCCGTACACTCACTCCTCCAGGCACCCCGGCGTCCACCGCCAGCTCCGGCTTTGGCTTCGGCACGACCCCGACCTCCTCTGCCTCCACGGGCTTCACCCTGAAGGTCCCGGCCCCGACCTCCACCGCGGCCACCGCTGGCCCCGGGTTCGCGTTCGGCAAGACCACCACCAGCTCCACCACGCCCGGCTTTGGAGGTATATATATATATGTGTGGACCAGTGGGTGGTTGGCGGGTGGCTCAGCTGTGGTTTCGTTTTCTCTTTCTTTTATTTTCTATCGAACATCTAGATATCGTCATTTTACCTCTTCTCCTTCTTTTGTTTGTATGGTTACTTTTTAGTAGTAACACTTCTAATCTTTTGCTTTTATACGACCTAATTGTGTCACAAGTGCCATAACACTCTCACTTAAAAGTAAGACTACGTAAACTAAAATATGCTGACCTGCCAAGTACTTTTACTTTTTAATTTATACTTTTCATTCTCTGTTGTCGTTCGTCAGATGTTGGCTAAAGTCATTTCTGTTTTTAAATTAATGAGCTAGATTTTTTTAAGTATCCTGGTGAAATCAGGCTCTCATCAAAATAATGAAATCAGAGAAAGTGGTATTTTCTGCTAGTTTAGCAATTAAATTTTTTTATTTTTTTTGGCTGCACACCTTTTATGTCAATTTTAAAACACATTTCTCTGTGGATTTGTACTAAAAAGACATTGAATGAAGGTACAAGAAATGTACATTTTCTGTTTCCAAGGATTATCGAGGTATGGAAGTCACCAAACTTTGGCTGCCAATTTTTCTCTAATTTTACCTCTGAATATCTCGACTTCTATTCAAGGTTGATGTGTACCTGTTTCATTGAACTCTTTTTGTCAGAACACAATGTACTGTTTATAACTGTTGTATTATACAGTGCTCAGAGCCCGCGTACTTAAAAAAAAAAAATTTTTAATAGAAGGTTTTACAGCGCTCACAATTGCATAAAGTCATATGAGCGCCAAGGGGTTGGTGTCAACAGAGAAGTCCTTACAGGGAATCAGACTTACTCTGCTCACCTCTCTAGCTTCAACAGCACAAGGTCTCCTTCGACTATTAAGGCAACCCGGAAATAACGGATCACCAGAGTGTGACAAACATACAAAAGAAGTAGAGGAAAATGACTATAGTAAGGATTAGGAAAGAAAAAGTAGCAGTTCCCTGTTGCAGGTCAGGCACAGTTATGAGCGTGGCGTGATGAATCAGCCCATTTACAATTCTATTGTGCTTGAATGAGAGAGAAATGTCCCCCCTTTGGGAATGGCCTAAAGACACTACAGTCAGTGGCACCGCCCGGGGGGGTTTGTGTACTTTAATCGGGGTTGAGTGCTATGCGATATATAAATTTCCACATATGTTTTTATTATGAGAAGATGGTTTTATGGTAGGTCAACTCTGCATGGTGGTTGAAGGATGCCACTGGTAGGTCCTACTTCTTTTCTTTCCCCTGTTTTTCTGTCTGTCTTTCTTTCTTTTTCAGTGCTCTGAATATGACCTGCCAAGTACTCCTATAAAATCGGAGCCCTCTGATTTTATTTTCTCCAGTCAGGTTTACACAAAATCCACTTTTTCATTTTTGTGAATTACGTTTACATCGATCGTAGACAACTTATCATAAATGACCTGAAAATAATCAAGTTTGTTTATGTATATTTGTAAGATGGTGGATTGTGGGAGTCCAGGGAACCCAGAAAAACTACAACATCTCAATTGAAAAAGCTGCAGAGTTAACTCTACTATAGAAACCTGCATGTCCCCTTGATGCTGAATGACAACAGAGGATGAAAAAGTCAAAGTACAGTAACTTGGGTGGGTGCTTTCATGCGGTTTTCTCCTTCTTTCATATTAAACATCTATCATCTTTGTCTCTCCTCCTTTTTTGAGCTTGTTACTCTCTTTTAACACCTCTAATCTTCAGCGTTCGTAAGACAAAATAAATTGCGTCGCAAGTGGCCGTAAAACGCTTACTAAAACGAAACAAAGTAAGGACAATCAAGTCGTAATAAATTGTTGTCCTGTTCTATCTGTCTCTCCTCTCCCAGGAGTTGGCCTGCTGGGCAATGCCCCGGCCCCGGCCGCCGCCGCTGCAGCCACCACCACGGCCAGCATGGGTCTCGGCACCGGACTATTTGGCACGCAGCCTGCGGCACGAGGGGGGACCAGCATCTTCAACTCTCTGCCCACCTCCAGCGCTGCCACGGGGCTCGGCGGCGTCGACCCCAACACTGCGCTCAAGACAGGTACAGTACCGGACTCCCCCGGTGTTTGCAGGCTTACCAATAAATTGTCCTTACTTTAAGGCATCGAATATAAGAGGAGATAGGAATAAAAGAGGGGGGGGGTGGACAAGTGGTCCAAAATTAATATACGGATGGGGTTGGAATAAAGGTGGGATGGGGGGGGGGGGTGGCACATTCTACCTCATACCCCTTTATACAAGTAGGAACAAATCTGTTTTAGTTCTCCTTCAGTGAATAAAGGAAAAAAGATCATGAAATTTTAGTGATTTTAGTAAGTTACTGTGACAACTTTTCCCATTTAGGAACAAACCAGTTTTCTTTAAAAAATATAAACCAATGTACAAAAGTTTAAAGAATGCACAGAAAATTGAGGTAGCCAACCCAGTATGGGTAATAATGCTGAGGGTAATTTGCCTTTTACCAAAAAAAAGTTTCATTCAGATATCTAGATTCTAGATACATTGTGTCACATGATCCTTGGTCGTGGCAAGCTGAGAAAATAATAAATGGGGGGTATGGAATAAGGAGCGGGGAGGTGCGCAAAAAACCCTGAAAATTAATAAACGGAGGGGGGGGGGCGTTTATTCGATACCTTAGAGTAGTGGATGGCTGGCCGGTGCTCTGGTGTGGTTTGCTCCTTCTTCCCTATCAAACATCTGTGTGACTCTCTTGTTACACCTCTAATCTTTGGCACTCGTATGGCCGGCCTAATTGTGTTGTAAGTGCCGTAAAATACTTACTAAAACAAAAGGTGTATGGTTGGAGGGTGCCACTGGTTGATCCCACTTCTTTTTAATCCTTTTGTTCTTTCTTTCTGTCAATTATACTTTTCTCCTCTGTATTTGACGATGGTTGTCATGTTGATGTGGTACCCATGTGCTCTGATGTGGTTTGTGCGTTCTTTTTTATCAAACATCTATTACTGTACCTGTCTATTAATGGACATGCTTGCTTGTCCTGTGCCTGACCTCCATATTTTTTGTTTTTGTTTTTCTCTGCCATCTGTGTTTTTTCCCACTATCTCACATTCACGTGTATATTGTGTGTCTGCAGGTGCTGGTGATGGCCGTGGGGCTGCCAGGTAAGCTGATGAACAAATTTTCATATGTACACTCCTAAACATGTGTTCTCACATATGCACACTCATACACATGTGTACTTACATACACTACACTCAGTGGGTGGTTGGCGGGTGCTCTGGTGTGGTTTGCTTCTTCTTTCCTATCGAACATCTGTCGTCCTGATCTTTCCTCCTTTTTTGTGTATGTTACTCTCTTGTAACACCTCTATTCTTCGACACTTATAAGACCTTATTGTGTTGCCAGTGCCGTAAAACTCTTATTAAAACTAAACTAACACTACACTCAAATCCACACATAGAAATGTTTTTTAAAATGGAGATAAAAGGTGTTGAGCCGAAATAAGCAAACAAATTGATAAATTTGCTCAAAGAACAGAAAAATGCTGGTTTGTTTGAATTCAATATTTTGAAGAGTGCCTGGTTTCACCTCGATGGGACAAATTTTCATATATTTAATTCTGCCTTTTTTGTTTCACTACTTCCATTTTCTCTTTGTAAGATATAGCTGTCCTGTTTGGTTGATGCTTGATGCCTGTTGCATTATACCGCAGCTTAATGTCTCTGTTCTGTTTTTATGGTTTGGTGACTGTGGATGGTTGGCTTCATGCTCTGGTGTGGTTTGCTCCTTCTTTCCTATCAAACGTCTATTGTCCTGAGCTCTCCTCCTTTTTTTGTGTTTGTTACTCTCTTGTACTTGTAACACCTCTAATCTTCGGCACTTATTATATGACCTTATTGTGTTGCAAGTGCCGTAAAACTTATAAAAACTAAAACTAACGGTTTGGTGACTCTAGTACTTTATCATAGTCTTTGTTTGGCTCGATGATTTCAAGTGTGTGTTTGGTCATCCTTTGTCTTGTCCACTGACTGTCATGTTCTACCATTTGATGCCTGCTGTGTTTGATTACTTGCTTTGACCATTTGATGACTTGCCCTGCGTTATGGTGACAAAATGCTTTTTTTTTTTTCAATTTTGGCGCCGCACTTTTTAAAATTTGCTAAATTGATAGCCTGATCGGTTATCCCACTTGTGTGAAAAAATTCAAAGTGGAACTGTGACTAGTTTTTGAATAAATTAAAATTCAGATTTTGACTGAATGCCTTTTTTAAATGGCTATGCTGACAAAACACCCTTTTTTAAATCTCGAAACTGCTGCGAATAAGAAGATGCGTTTTGTCAGCATATGGCAGTGAGTGTAGTGATTGACCATTTGATGCCTTTGTGTGATCAGTGTTTGGTGACTCCTGTTTCATCATTTCATGACCTTGTCTCATTTGATCTTTTGATGGCTCTATTGCGTTTTGATCATTGCTTGATGACTTATATGTGATCAGTATTTGCTGACTGTTATATATATATTTGATCAATGTTTGATGATTGACTTGATCAAATGTTTGATGACTGTTATATTTGATCAATGTTTGATGATTGACTTGATCATACGCTTCATGACTGGTGTGTGTTTGACCAATGTTTGTGGGTGGTCAGTTGGTGCTCTGGTGTGGTTTTTTCCTTCTTTCCTATCAATCATCTTATTGTCCTTATCTCTCCTTCTTTTGTTTGTATGGTACTCTCTGGTTACTCCTCTAATCTTTGGTACGGTTATAACCTCATTGTGTTGCAAGTGCTGTAAAACTTTCACTAAAACCAAGTGACACTTGTTTGACCATTGTGTGTGTGTGTGTGTGTGTGTCTTTGCAGCGATGGGAAAACCCCAAAGGAGTCTTTCCTGCCGGAACCGCTCACAGGCACAGTGGATGCATTACAGTAAGTGACGGGCTGGTACAATGTCAGTGGTTGGTTGGCGGGTGCTCTGCTGTGGTTTGCTAATTCTTTCCTGTCGAAACATCAATCATCCTTATATCCCCTCCTTTTTTGTTTTTGTTACTCTCTTGTAACACTTCTGATCTTTTGCACTTATATTACTCTGTTGCAAGTGCTGTAAAACTTTGTGAGTGGTTGGCGGGTGCGCTGGTGTGGTTTGCTTCTTCTTTCCTATCAAACATCTATCGTCTTTGTCTCCCCTCTTTCTTTTTTGTGTTTGTTACTCTCTTGTAACACTTCTAATCTTCTGGCGCTCTTAGGACCTTATGCAGTTGCGAGCGCCGTAAAACCTCTACTAAAACTAAAACAAAAACAAACTGTAGAACTTTTACTAAAACAAAACCTACAATGTCAGATGATGCTGTGTTAGAATGTCAGAACATGGCAGTAGACTAATGACAGGGGGCTCTCGTGGCCTACAGGTTAAGGTGTTGGCCTCTCATTCAAAGGTCCCGGGTTCGAATCGGGGTAGCGACCGAAAAATTTTCTTCTCTAAAATTGTCTCCTTTCACCTCCTTTCCTGCTCTCTAGCAATGTTCTGTTGTCTGCTTTCAATTCCACTTTCTGCCCCCTCCCCCTCACCTCCTTTGCCCCCTCCTCTGGGCTCCTGACTCTTTCTGCAGCCTTTCTACTGCTACTCCTTGGCTCCTCCTTACTGCTGTCTTTCTGCCACACCCCTGATCTTCTGGTAGGAAAGATCTACACCTAGCCTTCTCGGACAAGGGCGAAAAATCTCGGAGGGCCCGTGTGCAAATTGCGCACGTTAAAGATCCCTTGGTGGTCTAAAATCGATAAGAGTAGGCTGCGGCCGCCACCCGGGCAAATTCAAAATTTCCTACCAACTGAAAATATTAGATGTGTCCCGCGCGCTCATATGACCTATGCAGTTGTGAGCGCCGTAAAACACTTTACTAAACAACAAACAAACAGACTAATGACAGATTGCTACCTTAGAATTACAAAGCTCTCTCTGCTCAGTATCCCAGCATAAAGATTGAGGTACTCAATAAAAACTCTCCTCACTCGGGAATCGAACCCAGGGCTCCTACATGTGGCATGGAAGCGCCTAACCACTGCACCACAGATGCCAGTGGTGAGTGCGTCATGCGACGTAATTATCATGCTGTTACGGAAATGTAAAGTGAAGTTGATGAAATGTCGAAAGATGTCAACAGAATGTGATGTAAGAGTGAGTGTGTAGTGGGTTGGTCTTTGTTTTATCTTCTGTATGGCTATGGCACTATTTTTTTAAGCAGTTTGAAATGATGAGTTTTACAACCTTCTAGAGAATCAAGAACTTTATGGTTGGTCTGAGGTAGCCACTTGTAGAACAAGTTTCTATGCATATATACTCTCCTTCTTTTGGTGGGTGCCTTGATGTGGATTGCTCCTTCTTTCCTATCAAACATGTATCATTCGTATCTCAAATATCTCTACTCGTTCCTTTTTGTGTTTGTTACTCTCCTGTAACACCTCTAATCTTCAGCACTTATATGACTTAAGTGTGTTGCAAGTACCTTAAAATTCTTACTATTACTAACAAACTAAAAATCTCCTTCTGTTGTTTCTGTCTGTTGGTCTTTTTCTTTTCCTTCTTTTCGTGCTTCTCTTTTCTCAAATTCAAGCTGGGAATTTTTGCTTTTGAAAACCTCTCCTCAGGAAATTTGTCAAAGAGGAGAAGTCTGTGCGGGAGGACATTGCGAGGATGTCTTCCAAGCCGATGCTGAAGGTGCAGGAGGAGGTAACTGCGCTGAGGCAACTGCTCTCCGTCGTCTCCAACGGCCTGCAGAGGAACGTGTGCTCTGTGGACAAGCTGAAGGCAGAGATGACGCAGGTCAGTGTGTTGTACAGGAAGAAGCAGGGAAATTGAAGGATACAGTCGAACATGGTCTATAGCTTTTTCACTTTCGTCTGGCGGCGGTTAAAATGGGATAAAAACAAATCGCTCTGCTTAAACCTTCTGGGTCTTCTTGCATGCGGATCTAAAAGTTAAGCGACCAACAGAATTTATAGATGGCTAGGTGTAAGATCTTACCTACCATAAGATCAGGGGTGCGGATTAAAGACAGCAGTGAGAAGGAGCCGAGGAGTATCTGTAGAGAGGTT